TAAATGAGGGACTACAGACATTTAAGAAAAGTTTCCCTTCTTTCATACTCTTAATCATGCAATAGAGCTATGTTATGGAGACTTATTCTAACTCGTGTTTTCTCCTATCCCTTCGACTACCCATCTTACTAGAGGTGGTTGAAAAGTAAAGTGTAAAGATCCTTATGGATGAGTTTCTCTTAGCACGAGTCTTGAGAAAGTCATGAGACTCCAGAGGGGCTTAAGAGAAGTCCAAAAGTAAGTTAAGTATTCAGTTTCAGAGGAATGCACCCATATTCATTTAAATCGTGCGTTTGAGCTAAAAGTGAGTTGTACTCTTTTCCTTAAGCCTTGTTTTAGCTGAGATCCTTATGAGGAAGTATGTTTAGATCTTGGGTAGTATTTTCACTCTAAAAGGTAGCATAAGTTACGAGATCATGAACAATAGTAGTGAAAGAGCCCAGATTTAGAGGAAAGTATGCAGAGGTTTAGTGATTTAAGAAAGGGAGATAATGTTTTAAAGAGTTATATTACTATAGTCATACACCTAGTAAGTTAGTAATGAGGAGTTTTCCCTTATGGGTAGATTAAGAAGTGATGAGTAGTGAAGATTCCATCATAGGAGGTAGAATGTGTTGTAGCTAGAAAAGAGTTGGTGTCGATGTGCCATTGTATTAGAGGAGACTAAATTCATGTGTTGAATAAGAGAGCAGGGTATTTATGAGGTGATAGATTTAAGCTAGGCTTATGATTTTTGAGAGAGAGAGCCCATAATATTTAAAGTTTAATAGAACTAATTAGGCACTGATAAATAGTGAATGAGTGAATAGTACTTATGTTGCGAAGTTGAAGGTGATAGTAATTGTAAGTATGAAGACTAAGAGGAGACGATTGAGTATTTGTCATAAGGTCCTAGTGGAGGAGTGCTTCTGAATTTGTATCTAGTAGTTGTAAGTTAGTATAGTAAGCTAGCAATTATATTAATATTCGGATTTAGTAATAACCTTTAAGCTTGAATTTGAGATGAGTGTCATGATCAAAAGAATGGCAGCATGAGGGTGATGACATCAGTCTTAGGATTTGATCTGGTAGGCTTGACATAGAGTAGGTGATGATTTGATATGGTTGTTGCAATGAATATTAGTGGTACAGGTGAGAGACCTTAACCTTAGATAAGGGCAGCAAAGTGTGGCTAAGTCACAAGACTAACAAGAGCAATAAGAGGTAGACCATTTAGAGATGATAGAATATGTCCATAGCCTTCAAGTGTTAACTTTAGACCTAAGGGGGAGATGATAAGATGAGAAATCAAGTCAAGTGTTTGAGAATAAGATGGTAATGAATTCCAAAGAGTTTGGGGGATATCTTTTTAGAGGTCCTTTTAGTAATGAAGTGATGTTAGAAAGAGGAGGTTGATGATCCTATCGTGATAATGATGGTGTGATAATTCTGTCTAAGGTTATTAACAATGAGGAAGAAGAGGATTAGGTTTTACTAAGAGAAATAGTTAAATGAGAGCCCTTAGTTGGATCTAAAGGAGTTGGTTAGTAGCAGTTCATGGAGTTGTTCGACTGCTAAGATTGAATGTGGAAGTAAAGAGTAATAGTTTAAGATGAGATTCCCTATAGAGAAGTAGAAAATCCGAACTTAAGGATTTGGGTTAAGCTTGAATATAGTAAGAGCAGACCATCAGACGCAGATCTTAGTAATAGTAAACCATTACATACCCAATCCAGTCGTCATTCGAGGACGAATGATCCCAAGGGGGAGATATTGTAACACCCCAGAAATTTTTTCAAACTAAGACTCGAACCGTTCATCGTAGTGAGTGAGATTTTCCCGAGGAATTAAAATTTCTTAAGTGTTAAGGTCACTAGATGTAGCACCTTGAGTTCCAAAAAGAATTAAATTGGAAATAGCAAAATCTAAAATTTGCAAGTTAAGCTAATTATGAGTTTTGGGTTGACTTCAAACAATCATAACTCCTATCTCAGGATGAGTTAGGTGTGCTACCAGATACCGTAGGAAATACCTTTGAATTATCTTTCCAAAGCCACCGAGTTTGCTAAGTTTCGAGGTCGGATGACTGAGATATGGCCTTTTGAAGATAGTCTGTCTAGTTAAGGAAAGTTAGCCGAAAATAAAGAGGGGTATTTTGGTCTTTTCCTTACCCAAACAGATTTGTTTCGTTTTTAGTTAATATTTTAGTAGGTCTAATCTGATTAGGTTCAGTTTTATAATCCTAGTTTACGCCTAGGGTTTTAGTTGAGAGTTCAAGAAGAGAGAAGAGGAGAAAAGAGGAAAGGATGAAGGCGTTCGTCGACGTTCTTGAGAGTTATTACGGATTGTCGCCATGGGTTTGATCCCTAAGAGGTATGTAAGCTTCCATAGTGTTGGGTTATTTTACCCACACACCAATCATGATTTATTCAGCGTAATTTCGTTCTTGAAATTTAAAGATTAGAGTTCTTGATGAGTTCTTGATAAGTGTTCTTGAAGTTTCATTAAGTTTTGATGTAAGATTCTGCTTGGGTCAACTTTAAACGACCATATCTCTTAGAATATTAAGAGTTACGTGAGACATAACCTATACAATTAAAGGTAATTGAATCTACTTTCCAACCCCACCAATTTCATGTCAATCCAATATTTGAGTAAAAAGTTATGACTATTTTAGTAACCAATATAGTGTTGTTACGAATTGGCCGATGGGAAAACATTAAAAAGGGTTGTTTTTGTTTTTTTACCTCCAATAAAACCCTAAACGAATTTCTTGACTAATAAAAGTCTCAAAACATTCAGATTTTTATCTTCACTAATGAAAATCATATTTTATGGCGAATTGAATATATTATTTTTATTCTAAGTTGTTTATTTGAGTTAAAGTTTTGTAAAGTTGATTTTATTGAACTTTTATTTTAGTTTTAAGCTTTTGTATGCTTAAGTTAGTCTTCCGCTTGTAGTCAGCCAGGATGAAGGTTCGCTTGGGGACCAGCAATTGTTCTTTAGTGCCGGCCACGTCCAGGGTGTAGACTCGGGTCGTGACAGAAATTTTTCCCCAAAGAAGATCAAAATGTGGAAAAAACCCAAAAAAATGGCGGATGAGGAAACCCTAGACGAAATCAACAAGCTGCCGGAGTCACTTCTGGTTCAAATTATCTCTCTTTTGCCGATAAAGGATGCTTTCAAAACATCTCTTGTGTCAAAAAAGTGGCAACATCTTTGGACTTGTACTGATAATCTCGTTTTACTCTGTAACAAGCATTCGGAAGCTGAAGACTTTGTATCCTTCGTAGACCAGGGGTGTATCTAGAGGGGGTGTCGTGGGTTCACGTTAACCCATCCTCCCCGGTCTAGATAATATATAGTAGTGTTATATTTTTTATAAAAATATTTAAAATATAGATGTGTGAATCCACGTTCAAAGTATCATATAATAATACGATGATGATTTGGTGCACTCCTCTAAGTGAGGATAGAAATTTAAATCTTATATCTATCTTGTCTTTTACTAACACCTCTCTAAGTGGTTATTGATTACACTTTTGGCGTTTCAACTAATTATTCTTTTGTTTTTTTCCTTTAATCTTTCAAAATTTTCAAGTGTGTTACATTGAAAATTCGTAAAAAAATTAGCACTGTAAATTGTTTATATAATTAAATCAAATGTGTATATTAAAATTTAAAACTAGTAGCATTATATGTTTTGGACCTATAATTTTTAAAATTTAATGGTTCATATTAAAAACCTAAAAGTCAAACCGATCAAATTTATATTTAAGATACATTTTTTTGTAATTGTGCACCCATCTTGCGGAAATCCTGGATACGCCTCTATCGTAGACTATTCATTTGCTCAACGTTCTTCTTCCAAAATCCAAAAATTCCATCTAGATTTCTGGTCCATTGCTCGTTACAACTTCAATGTCAAACAATGGCTTACTTGTGTTATAGAAAACCAAGTTGAAGATATTAAATTGGAGTCAGTTTTTTCTGACATGTACACATTGCCTCAAATGTTGTATACTTGCTCATCGTTGAGAACATTATCTTTGTTTGATTGTGCTTTTGATTTACGAGCTATTATATCATGGAAATCTCTGAAGAAACTGAAACTTGAGCATATGAAGTTATACAATGAAGTCATTGTAAAGTTATTGTCAGGTTGTCCTGCTTTAGAATTATCTCTTTTCCATAGTTTTCGCAGTCTGGAAATAAATAATCCTAATTTAAAGATATTAAAGTGAAAGACATTTGGCCGGAGTATGAAGAAGGTGATCACACTTTGGAAATTGTTGCACCATATATTCAGCATTTGGAGATTTCAAGCGACATTGATGATTTTAAATGTAGGCTAGTGAATGTATCTTCCTTGGTCACTGCTGAGATTACCTTTGATATCAGATGTGAGAGTGACATTCAGGATGATTACGAGTATGGTGAGTTTGACAAATGCCATAATTATCATCGTGTGTTTTGGATGCTCGTGCAAGATTATCTTCACAAATTGAGAGAGAAAATGATCAAAATGACCCTTCATGTATAAGGGTTGATTTATTTTGGTCCTTTAACATATATCACTTGATAGAAATAGTCCTTAATGTATATAAAATGGGTATCACTTTGGTCTATGCCCTAAATTTAACTTTTTCACTGTTAAAAACTAATGTTCCCCTTCTCTGGTTCTTCTGTACTTATTCTTCCTCAATAAGAGGATACTAATCCACCCCATATATTGCTTATTCAAACTCACCCATAACTTTTTTCTTCTTTTTTTCAAGTAATTTCTAGCTTCTGGATCAACTGAAAATTTATTGGATTCAGTGGAAGGGCAAAAAAAGACTCACCTATTAATTTCAATTTTCATGTTTCATTGAATTAACTAATTAGCTCATCCAATCCAAAAATCATCTAAGTCATTCAAAAGAGATTATAAACTAAACAGTAATAAAATAATGGAGAATTTTTTTGTGTCTATATCATCCAAAAGCATGGATATGCTACTTCTTATATCATTATATTACCAGTTTGAATAATTCTTTTGTTTCAGTCAAAACATCTAAAAATAAAGTCATTCATACCATTAATGAAAAAATGGAACAAGCTGCTCAAATCATAATGAGTATTGAATTTTTCTAAAAGAAGATGGAGTTGACAAGTGAGAAAAGTAGCAAACAAAACTAGTAGGAATGCTCCAAATGAGGAGGGGCTCATAGAAGACTTGTTTTTTTATTCATGTTCATTGTGAGAATGGTCGGTCATCGGACATCTACCAGGAGTCAAATTTCAAACATTTTTCCATAGGTATGAACTTTTACATACATGTGGAAAATATAAATTTTTATCTATTTTAGGGATTAACGAAGACAACACAGAAGATAGTTAAAAATGAAAAAAAGAAGAGCTTTTAAAATCTATTTTAAGAAATGATGCAGTTTTAGAGAGAAGCAGACAGGAAGACAGAGCAACCAAAGAGAACAGAGAAATGAGTACTGGAATGGGCCGCTAGTTTTAACAGAGAAAAGTTAAATTTAGGGTTTAGGATCAAAATGGTACTCATTTTGTATACATTAAGGACTATTTCTATTGAGTGATATATATTAAGGACCAAAACAAATCAACCCCTATACATGAAGGACCATTTTGATCATTTTCTCCAAATTGAGAAATGTGACAGAGCTAACAGTCGGAACCTGGTTTGTAGAGGTTTATTACTGACTCAAAATTACTTTATTAGATAACAGTTGCAGAATGTAGTATAATATAATTGACTTCTTTTGTAAACATGAATATTTCTGCAAAAAAATAAGGAAAAAAAACTGTGTAATATCTGTCACCTTTTGAATTATGATATTTGTCATACCGGCAAAATATGACTTGGTGAAGTAGCATTTCATACATTGATATTGCTTATAGTATTTAGATATCTATCATTGTCATAAGACTATCATTATCTATGTTCTTTTTATTGCTTTCTCTTTTTCTGTTCTTTACTAGTTTCATTGGTATTCCTGCACTAGGTCCTATTCATGCTGCAGCTAGATGGAGTGCATATTCCAGAATTGAAATGCAAATGTCTAACACTAAAGTTCTATATATCAGAGTATAACTTGTATGGAGTTGCTACTCTTTTGCAGACCTCGCCTCATGTGGAGACACTCAACATAGACATGGATCTTAACGTAATTTTCGATATCCTTGCTCTTTTTCATACATCTATTCATCTTGACATTTTGATGCATACAAATCCTTTTTTTTAAATGGTAATAATTGTATTTATAAAAAGCTCAAAGGTAGTGCTAAAATTCTCTACAAGTGAATAGAGAGACACTAAAAATTCTTGTAAAGTTATTGCATCGTTTGAGTTGTCCTTTTTAGTTTTACCCCAAAAGTGAAATGGCATAATACAATCTAACTTGAAATCGTCTGCACTGATTTCTACCAACTTAATTTTGCTTTGTCCAATTCTTACCTATATCAACAAGACAAAAAATCTTGTGTATTCCCCGGCATAAACCATCTGATACCGACCAAGTTGAGAAATAGCTGCCATAATTGGTATGTAATAGGACAATGCAAACAAAGATGATTAATAGAGTCTGCATGGAGGAGCACTTGACTCCATATTTGTTTCTAAGGCCATGGTTTGAGATGCTATTCTTCTTTTTTCAGGATTCTGTAACTAGACTTTACTGAAAATTCTCCTTTCATGCAGCCATTCCATTCAATTTGTCTTCACTAGATGTGCAACCTTGAAAGCTTTCCAGTAAGTGATGAAAATCACATATTCTCGGACATTCCCAATCATTCGTATTTCTTTTAAAACTCACCCAAGTTCCATTGACTCTAGAGTCAGTCACGGTATCATTATAAGACAAAACTCCATTGTACTAGTCTGGGAATTGGTCCTTCAATGGACCAATCCATTCATCCAGCCAGAAAACCGTTTTGCACAACTCTAATACTTATGAGTTGTTTGAATTCAGGCCATAGATTCCTTATGCTTCTCCATAAGTTTTTTTGTCTGGTTTAATGCACCAATAACCTGTAAGTTGTATTTAACAATGATCACCTTGCTCCACAAAGCATGCTTCTCTATGTGAACCTCCAAAGGCACTTCATTAACAAGCTTTATTGTGTATCCTTAGATTCTTGATCCCCAGTCCTCAACATTCTTCTGCTTGAGTAGTGATTTCCAATTGACAAGGTTGAAGGTTTTCTGCTCACTTTATAAAGTCTTTGTTCAATCTTTGTTGGTAGAGCAAACAAGGACATAATATAAGTAGGTAGAGAATCCAATACACTATTCATCAAAGCCAAGTGATAAATACTACTTCTTTCCAGCTAGAAATTTGATACGTCCAAACTTACACTTCGAATAAGAGGTGTAAACGGTCGTTGTCAATTTACAGAACTCAACTAGAGTTGAGGTCGATCCCACGGAGAATTTCTTTACAGATAAGGTTTTACTGTCGCGTTTATTCGAATGTTGTTATTATCTCCTAAACAAATAACAACGAAAAGTAAATTGGGTTTGGTTGAAATGTTATAATTACCAAAACTTGTAGTCAAAATCCAAATTCACGACTAACAAACTATTTCGTTGTAAGGTTGATTAAGTTAATTAAGAGAAACAAGGATTGCATTCACTATAACATCAGTTCTAGTGTTCTTCCGTAATTGAGCGTCAGGCAAATAAATGTTTACATAATCATTGCGAGTTAGATTTATCTGACGCTTCTCAACCTAATCAGATAATTATCACCCATTTTCTCTCGACCCTAGGGTGTTACTAACATTAACCCTCACTTACAATGAGATGGTGTTAATGTTCTTTTCTCTCAAACTCAAGTTTTAACTCCAATTTATTAATTTAGTTCAGCTTTTTCCTAACTGGTATTTTTCTCTCGAACAAATACCAGATACAGGCTCATCTAATGCGTGCACTCACTAGATTATAATGATATCGAAAGCTAAAAACTACAGATTGTAAACACAAACTGCCCTTACTCGTTTTACGAAATTGTCACTAAAATTTCGTCATGGATCACACAACCCCAGTCGTGGTATTTGGCCACTCATGCTTTCACGTAAACAATCAGTAATGAAGAATGAAAACATGTTAAGAAAGACTTACAAAAATAATTACCAACTTAACAATCACTTCGATAATCTGTATATGAACTTCCAACTGATAACAATAATCGAAATCCCAAAATCAAAAGCTAAGAGTAATGCTGTATTTCTTAGTCGTAAAACGTAAGATAATGAATAATTGTCCAAAAAGACCTAAAGTAATTCAAAATAGATTGTTTAAAATGAGTCCTAATCGAACTATGACTGAATTGTCAGGACTTTTCACGACCACTACCACGACCCGTCAAGGGCCTTACGGTCCGTGAAACCCTCTGTGGTCTTCCCTTAGAGCTTCCCAAAAGTGGGTCTTCAAACTTGGTCACTGGAAATTGCATCACGGACGAGACCACGATCGTCATAGGGGCCACGGCCCGTGAAGATGTCCGTGGTCTTTACTTGGACTTTCCCAAACTTTGAGTTTTCAATGTTATCCACTGGAACAAGGACTACGGACTGCACCACAGTTCGTAGTAAGGACCACGACCCGTGATGGCGTTCATGGTCTTTACTTGGTTCCAACATTCTTTCCATTCTTCCTTGCTTTCATACTGGTTCAACTTCACGGCAGGTACCAGGGTCCGTGGCGAGGACTACGGCCCGTAGAACCCTCTGTGGTCTTCACTTGGTTATTCATGCTCTTCATCTTCTCCAGGCCCAACATTGACTCACTTTCACGAGCTCAACCACGGACCGTAATGAAGGTCATGGTCCATGAAGTTTGCCGTGAACTTTACTTTGAATCATCATCATTTGGCAGCTTCTTTTTCATTTTCTACACAAACCAAATTCTGCCTACACATTCAACAAACCCATCAAATAATACAAAATTTCACTTAATTCCAATACTAGTTCATAGTTATTAAGCATCAAATGTGCTACGATTTCACGACACATCAACACCCTCAACTTAGAACCATTACTTGTCCTCAAGTGATGATACAACAACACATTCAGTCCTCACAATGTTTAGACACTTTTGAAACTATGTATGAGCCTTTTTAAACAACAATTGTATCCAAAATCCTGAATCTAACATATAAGGATCAATACATGACATCTCATTACTCAAAGTCAATCATGCTTATGCTTGAGAATTATTGGCTCATAAAATCTACTTCCAAATGCAACCACTGTGTCCTCACACCGAAGAAATCCCTCGCTCATAATAGTTGGGACTGAGTACTACGCTCACACTGTCAAAGATCTTTTAACTCTAACAACAAACTACCATAGATTTGCCCTCGCTTTCAACGCTCTATCTTTCAAACACCCGAAATAGGATCACTGTAGGACTTTATTGGCTTGTAACATAGACTCGAGGCTAGGGAATGGATTTTTGGTTTCGTGAGTGACTAGTCCCTTGGTTTTCCAAAGTTTCGTTTTCACATAACTCTTTTCTGAGTGATTCCCCTTTTTTTTCTTTATTTCAGCACGACCTAGTAGCTATTATTTTTTTTTATTTTTTTCTGTTCTTTTTTTTTCTTTTTTATATGCAATTTTGATATGCACTTAGCTCACTGGTTGAACTTTCTTTTTCCTTTTTCTTTCTGTTTTGGATTGCAATCACCCTCAACTTAGGCTTTTGGCCTAAGCTGTAATATCGTACCTTCGGAGAACCAAGGATATGATATGTGTTGGGTAAGAACAAAGACTGATTTAAGGCTCAAATTGGGTTCAAGTGATAAGTTTTTTCATTTGGTTCTTTTATTTTTGGCTTTTTACTGGTTTAACAAAAATGGCCTACTGATCCTTTCCTATCCAGTTATTCTCAGATTCAAGCAAGACTACTTAGGCAAGTTCTAGTTTCTGCTCCTAGTGTTAGACTTCAATCAAAACTTACACACACATGATACAGGACTGTATTTTTCAGTTTCTTGGTTCACCAATTAATTGGTCAGATTAGCCATGTTCAACATATCAATATCTAAGATGTCATCTAAAGATCCTAACAGTCAAACTAAGATTCAGGTCCTCATTTTTCACAGACTAGCTGCTACACAACTCAACACCCAAAAATAGTAACACATAGAGACAACCTCTATTTTTAACAGCTATGGCAGGTTGCTCTCACCACCCCCTCCCTAAATAAAAAGGACTTTGCCCTCAAAGTCGATACAGAATAATAAAACACACAGGCTATGAAGAGGGGTCATACCTACGGCGCTCTAGGTGCCGGTCGTCGGATCAACATTGGCACCCTTATCAATGGGTGCACTCTTAGAAAAAGGTACCTGATCAGTTTAGTCCTCACTAGTCGGGGCAGATGCTCCACTACCAGAAGCTCCAACTAAGGTTGCATATCGCTGTTGCTGTTCAAGGGCTTCCTTTTCTCGAGCTTCCCTCTTTGATGTTCTACGAGCTCTCTTTTCTTAC